TTCACGGTGTGGCATTTGCCTCACTGAGCCATCTAAATGCCATTAGAGGTGAAGAGGGAGCGAGGGAAAGAAAGTGGTGGGATTCAAAGGTAGTGGAGGGGGGAAGCGAAGGCCAGATGACCTTCCAACTGTGTGATCGTTGATTGTATCATCATCGCCATCATCGCCGACCAGTGGACCGAACTGAGTGGGGAATGGTGTTTATGACACCGGCAGGGAGAGCCAGGTAACATTCCCCCTCCCAACCACAATGACAACTCCCCCTTATTCCCTATCCCCTCCTTCTTCTTCCTCCTCTCGTGTTCCCACCCCTGTCCACGCGCTCGCGCACCTGTTCACAAGCTGTGTGCGTCTGTGAGTGCGTGTATGCGGCCTGGGGGGGGGGACTGGGGGTAGGGAGCCACGTAAACCGATGGGCACAGAACTGATGACTTACCAGTACAGCACGGAAATGCGTCTTTGTAGTGGTGGCAGTTGATTAATAAATCCCCATGAGGCCACAGTGCAGTCGCGAAACCGCAGAGTGGCATGACTAACCATGATTGATTAAACGACCCAGTCCGAGAGTGAATGGGTGTGCATGGAGGGGGAGGGTAAATCAAAAAGGTGCCCACTTGATGACAGCCACGACAGAGGAGTGGCCATTGACCTAGCAACAGACTTCATTAAAACGGATTGGATGGAGTGAATCGTTGCAGTCATGCGCACACGGACATGTGTGTGCATTTCGTCTCACTTAAGCCACGGGTTTTTCATCCTCTGTCTCAAGCTCTCGGCGACACAGGGAGATTCGACGAATCGGACGCTTTTTCGTGTGTTCAGGCGAACTTAAGCGCCCAATTTTTAGACCGGAGGTACAAAAAGGAGGTGGAATACAGAGTGAGCCAAAGGGAGAGCGACAAATCGTAAAAACGTTCTGGATGGGAAGTTTGTCCAAAACTTTTGCCGTCACCGTAACAGTTGTTGTTTCATTATAACCGGGATGAAGTGAATATGTCTGCCTTGTATCTACCTTTTCTCACGCGCTTTCTCGCTAAACTACATCTTTTTAAACTCAAAACCTTGTCTGCATAAAGCATTGCCTATGAACTGTTGCTGCAGTTGTCGATATATACTGAAAGAAGGCGAGCGGAAGAACGAGGGAAAGATAGAATGCGTCTGTATGCTTAAGATGCCGCAGTGGGTAAAAATTTGTCTCTAGTAACTTTTTTAAAATCATACGAAAGGATGATGGCCGTAAAATTAGACTATGGAGAAGGGAAATTTTGTGTCGTAGGCACCTATACATCCCACTTTTGATCGATAAACTGGCAGACAATCTTCTGAATTGCTGAACGTTCATAGACGAAAATTGCATAATAATTTTTAATAAACTTATTGATTTGATATTTAACTCTGTGCTTAACTCACTTTCCTTTGAATATTACAATGGGAACAAGCAGTTTAATTTAGTTTAATATTTATAGCCAGGTGAACCATAAAACATAGAAAATCCTAATCAGGTTGGTAAACCAAAGTGTTTCATTTCATGGAAGGATAATGGCACGAGTTCCTCTAAGAGCGAACATGAATTCCAGAGCACTAATAAAGCTACCTTATGAAGTTTTTCATAGTAAGCTCGGATTCTATTTTTTTAAACATTGATCACCATTGATCCTTAATTTTGGGATTTTATACCTATTTTAATAGGTGCTGTTTCGGGACACATTGGCAGTAAGCATCAATTGCTAAGAAGGCTATATGTGAGTTAAGAGCACTGCGCATTGGTTACATTTCCATTTAAATGGGAAAATAGAATTTGACCCTGCTTCAAAGTGAATTAAACTCACCGAATTCCAAGGGGACTGGAGATTCATACCCAGGAGTCCGTTGCTACCGAGAGTGGTGGTGGCCGAGGTAGGGTTCATCTCTTCCTGTTGTCGCATTTCAGCACCTTCAGGGGTCCGGCTAAGGTGTCTTGTGCGCGCGTGTGTCCCACGAACTCCTTAGTGGGCAAGTAATGCACAGAGCAGCAGCGTTCATACGGCCAGCGCAAACGCGCTTGCGCGTGCATACAGCGTAGATGCATGGGTGCGTGAGTGCACGATTAACGCGACAGAGCGCAGCCAGCGACGAATGGTCACGAGTGACACGAATGCATAAGGAGGTAATGTGCACGCGTGCGTGCGTGGACCACACGCAGCAGACGGCGGGTGTGAATTGGGCCAATCGTATGAGGAAGTGAGACAGGTGACAGCTTTCCTTGCAGTGCCGTCGTGCGTATGTGCGTGTGCCTATGCGGATCTGTTTTCGAAGTATCTAAAATAGGTTTCCGGGAGTTTGTTCTCAGATGACACTAAATATGCCAACATTTCAAGGAAGGAAATTGAGAAATGTTTCCAAAAGCCGGCCATTAAAATTGAAGGCACTATAATAGTTTTGCGAAATGTAATTTTTGTTTTTTTGGCCTCTAATTACTGAAAAAGACTAATTCTGCCATAATTCAGGTGTGAAAAACCATTAGAGGATATTTAGTGTGCCAATAATATTCATCCATTCTGCATGTACAGACAATAAACAAAATGAATCACATGATATTCATTGACTATTAACGAAATAGTATTTAATTCGCCCCTTGATTGCTGTCAAAACGCTTTGTAAAAAGGCTTTTTATGTTAAGCTTTGTTATCCAAAAATAAACAGCAGAAATTAAGGTCCTACTAAGTGACTCAGTATATTCACTACATTTAACAGTAAATACAATTGTAATAGAGTATACAAAATCGAATCAGAGGTCCTGCAAAAGTGCCCATGATAATTGAAAAAGGTGTCTGGTATTGTTTAGTAATGGTAAATATCCAAGTTCTTTAAGATCAGACAACACCACCCTTTAAAAAGACAACATTTAGATCATTAAATATTAGCAAAATAGGCTTATAAGTATTACTAATTTATGTAGATAAGTAAAATATTGGGTTTAGTTTAGTTTTTGGTCCCATCAAACTATAATAAAGGGAATATCAAGCATTGGAGTAGAATTCACCTAAAAAACACACCGTTGACTATATTGGACAACACTTTTTCTTGTTCCTTCCACATTTGTGCTAACTGGAATTAAAATTGGAGTGAAGCCTTATCCTACTTATGCGATTGAGCTGGTTTACGTACTGTCAATTTGACGCTCTGCAGGACATAAGTCAATAAATAGAGTCGGATTACAATATTATTTAAATCCCAAAGCTTGGCTATCATTTCTCATTTATTTTAGAGCTGGAAAATTCCCATCGTCTTAATAGCCTATGACGGAAATTGATACAAAAGGCATAAGGGTCTATGTTCCAACATTAAAGATCTGCCAAAGTCCAACGTCTTATGAACTGCACAAGAGAGTCTGGAAGAATTCTGCAATAAAAGTGGAATCATGAACTTTGAAACGCTCACCAAATGTGAAAATGTGTATGATCAGAGAAATTTTCCATAAATTGCATCTAACAAATGTGTACAAATACTGGCAACCTCAATTATTATTATTTTGAAGGACAAATTAAACAATTTTCTGCAATTTTATTTGAGCTTGTCAGACATTTATATGTTTGAAAATATTTTACAGTGAATATCATTCGTATAAAAGGGTTGCGTTATTCAATTTTTTAGACGCCTTTGAAAGTCGCAAGAGATGCGCAAGTTTTGGTAAAATATGGCGCGAATAGATCAGCTTTATTGCAGAGACAATAGTTGCGTTTTGAGGATACCACACTCCTTCGTGATCAGTATAGGACCAACTGTTCTTTTTAATAAAGCAATCGCCACAGCAGGGGCTTTTCGTACTCACCCTTAACGAGGTGATTAAGGAGAAGACTTAAGGATAAAAGCGATCTGCAGTCCTTAGATTCTGTGATTATTTACTTGGTGGGACACTTGGCGATCGGCAGTCAGAACAAACGCAATTTTCCTAAGTCGTCCCTGTGTTTGTTGGTCAAAATCACCTAGATTATAATAGGACTTGTTATGGACCAAAGAGAAATCGAGTTTGTTTAGCAGAGGAGTCAAGATTCCTCAATTTTCTCCGCTCTGTATAGAACTGCGGCGATTGATATTGACGTGTCGTTGCTTAGATGAAGTGGGCATTCTCCACTAAGCTGCTGCAAAAAATACCCACAAGTCATGGATAGGATAAAGTGTGGTGGCAAACAATTTATCATCAAAACGACCAGCTAAAATTGGTGGAAATTAATCACAGTTAAAGAGTGCACACACAGTAAAAAGTGAGAGGTATTGTGGTAGAAAAAGAAGACATTTTCGCCTGAGACCGAGTGCTATCCTTTCCCCCAATCTTCTACTTCCAGATACAACCCTCCAACGGCGCGCGTTCCAGTTCCTTGCAGCCCAGTTTTCGCTAGCACTAACTTTCTCCTCATTTCACTTTCTCTGTTTCCAGCTCTTTCTTTTCTCCCTTCTTTTCTGCCCTCCTTTGAGCTACAGGTGGGCATGGTAAAGTTGACTCTTCCCTCTTCGTAGGCATGTAACGAAAACTTGTGTAACCGAAGAAGTTTGGTAAACGAACCCATGTAGTGTCGTACCTCACACACGTATGCACGCACACCACACACTGGTACAAGCACATATAACTGACCCTCTTTCAAGCCACTAGATCACTCCAACCCCAAAACTGTCAACCAAGGTGGCATTTGCGCATTACAGAATGGGAGAGAAATCGTGTGCTTTCGGGAGTAAAAATAACATTCGGCCAAAAGACGAGCTTTAGAGAAATCGAAACTTAATTTTCCAGCGGGACAAAGGCAGACAGATGTATAATTCACATCCACTTCAAAAAGTTCACATGTATGTGATATGTGCTCCTTATCGGTTTATGATAACTGGTTGCATCAAATTTCGTCACAGAGAGATTGATTGAGCTTAGAATAATAGAGCGGGGGTACAAAATTCCCCATCTGAGAATGATTACAAATTTAGTTTTGAGCTGCATACCTTGAGATAAAACGCAACCTTCTAACCTGTAGTGGCCGATTTTCCTTGGTCACTCCGGCATCGAATGGGTTAATTTAAAAGTCATTGTTACTGGAATCGTATGACACTGTCTTAGCAGAGTTCTAGATGTGTCAATTTCTTTCCCAGGAAGATCAACGAAGAAAGAGAAGATGGATTTAGACTGAAATCTTGATTTGTAAATAGATCGTAGAGACCTTTCACTTTTTTAAATACCCATCTTACAACTTGTTTGTAATCTAGAAGAACTAAGAATAAGGTAAGAATAATTCATGCGCTCCTGTTGCAAAAGTTACAAATAACCAGAACGCTTTTAAAAGTGGTTGGCATAATTATGACTTAAGACCGATCGAGATTTAGCCTAAGCTGAAAGGATTTGTTACTTTGTAAATCGTACCTTATTTATGGACCCACGCATATTTTACAACCCCCACGGCCAATGTGCTCATATAATGGGATTTAAACAGGTATTACAATGTACCACAATACCTTCCTGCGAATATTTAAAGTGACAGGTAAAAGAGAAGCACTAATAGGTTAAAAGCGAAATCACGATTAGTGAGTAGCTTGAACATTTAGTGCTACACCTACATTCATAAATTCAATTAGGTAAAATGAGCAATGCATGTTGTCATACAGACGAGACTTCAAAACGTAGTTGATAAGAAATGCCACACATTTTATTAAGTGACAGATAAAAATGGAGGCATCAAATTGGCCATATTGTTAATAGAGTTTCGTAATAAGATGATGTAGTTCATACTGTTATTTCTACCTACTGATAAATTTTGTATTCCACATGGTGTCCTATAATCCGGATTAATTGAATATATGGAGGTTGTAGCATCCTAATTATTCTAGATAATGCGACATTTGCCTTTGAATTATAGTAAATTTTGGTAGCTAATCAATCTTATCATTGAGCTATCACTTAAATAGATTCCTTACTTTTCTCCTACCTTTTCGGGTGAGATTCCTCGGAATTTCCTTATAGACTTTTCCAAGATAATCTAATTTATTTCTTGGATAAGGGCTCCTACAATCACTTCCAATGAAATTTCTGCATGTAAATTAATGGCTATAAGTTTATGCTTTGCAAATAAATATTAATCAAAATAGAAATTTTTTACTTACATTTGCGAAGTTAATGCAATTATATACAGGCTTAATATACTTTATGTATACTGCCACACTATGAGCACATTAGTAAATATCTGACAAAATACTTTGGTAAAATCCCTTATCGTAATAATGAAAGGGAGTATCTGGTGTAGGATTGAGTATCTACCAAACCTACACCTCGTTCTCCTTAAATGATCTGCTTTTATGGAAAGCAGGATCTAAGTTTTATATAATGGCACTGCTGATTATTTATAATAATTCATTTTTTCTGCTTTGTGGCAGTGTAAATGTATGCATATTCAAGGCTTCTGGGAACAGTGGTGGGCAAACAGTCATCTAAAAGTGACGAATACCTCAACTTTTTGAAGGTAAATCACTAAAATAAACGGCGCAGCTCTTCACTATTACTGAAGAATTTCATTTAACAGATGAAACTTTTGTTAAACTTTTGATCGATGTCGCATTATCGAAAAGTTTGCTGAATTTAAGTAGACTCATCCAAAAGCCTGCTTCATTGGAGGATTGCATTAGACAGGCAATGCTTAAACCTATTCATAAATGTATTTTCAGAGCAGTACATTCATTGGAGTAAATTAACTACAAGGAAAATTGCGTATTTCTAAGGACTTCTTCAAATTTTTGGGTAGTATCAAGTACAAAAGTATCGTTTCCCACTAAGTAAATGCGTGAGACCATTTCGAGAAAACAGAATTCCTTTCGTTTTCTAACAGACCTGTCAATCGTTTTTAGTTATGACAGATGCATAATTAAAAGGCAGCACATTTTTTTCTGCGAGAAAAGTTGTACGCACAAACTGACAGTGTCCTGCTCGTAGGTGACATGCAAACCCAATTACGTCGCTCCCAAACGAACAGTTTACACCTGGCAAAAATCAACAAATAATATCCATTTATCTTTGCATTTTCGGACCTAAATTTGTATTCCATTTGATAAAAAATTATTGCCAGATTCATTTTAACACCTCTGCTTCTTCCCAGAACATTTCGAAGGTTGCAATGGTAATCAAATTATCGCTTAAGCAACAATGATAATCGCTGTATAAATATGGCATAAGGAGCTTAGAAAATCAGGTAATGTTGTTCCAAAATTAAATCAGTTGCCTCTGTATTTGAAATATTTTGGTTGTATTGTAATCATCTCCTTATTCTAATAGTAGTGGTGGACATTGGATTATCAGCACAATTGGTGAGACCTATTAAGCAGTAAAAGTTGTAATTCGAACCAGATGATGGCTAATGCAACAAAGTAACTTTAATTTAGCCTTAAGGAATTGCAGCAGTAACTTTTAAAGCAGCCTTAATTTGACTTCCATTCCAATACAATAAGCCGACTGTGTAACACAACTTATGAGGACCTTGCAGCTACTCCAAATCACTTCCCAGATGCAAAGTAAATCTGTGTTAGATTATAGCAGATAGATTTACGTTCATATCATGTGAAGTTGCATGACAGATGATTTATATGCAATCACTGACCGCTGCGTTAGTATGAAAAAGGATTGGATTCATTCATGCATGCGACTTGCAAGTGTCATTCTGCCATCAACATCATGTATTTCTTCGGAATTTGCATCAGTAGGCATTTTTTTTCCATCTGTGATATATCTCGCTGACAAGTAGTGAGAAACTATCGAATGTCGGAGTATGAACGCTTGACATTAATGCATCAAGCTGTGGTTTGGATTTTACCACTGGGGTGGACTACATTTTTGACAACGTACGGTCATTCATTGCCATCAATGTCCTGTATGGAATAGCAAAACTTATGAAGAAAAGTATAGGTGGTTCATCATTGGAGAAGTGTACAAAGAGTATCATAATATTTTACGCCAAACTTTATGTAGGTATGGGGAACGAGCTATAAAGAAAAATGTATATTTTGAAGAAGGCAAAAGATGGGGCAGTTATAATTAATCACTTGATTACATTTTTTGCCACATTTATTAACCTTAGTAAATTGTAATGGCTACAAGACGGATTCAAGCAGATTATGATGTCATTTTTGATGCGTTTACAGTTTCGACCATAGCCACTTACTGCAGAATCCATCAAAATTAGAAAACCAACAATGAATATTTTTGAATCTTGCTACAACTAGGAGGTCACGTGGATGAAAACACCCTACTTTGAGAATCCCATCTTCAGCTACGGAGTAGTTTGGAGTGCTTCTAATATTGCAAATCCCGGAATTCGACCAAAATGGAACCAAATGAATCCTGAACTAACTTAATGTAAATCTTTTTAGTGAAAAATGCTTCATGCATTAGTGATTAACAAATATGCACTCGTGTAAACTCTTTATCTGATTTTTTTATTTAAAATTCAACAAGGAATATTATTTATTTAATGAGTTTTTACATGCTCCATGTTATTTTTTCAAGGCAAAATAAGTTACATCGAACTTGCGGAGATACCTGTTTAACCAGTGTCAACCATAGTAGTCTTTTGGGTTTCTCAACCCTTGCTCAGTAACCCGCATCCACCTTTCCTTAGGAAGCAAGGCAGTGGACAACAAGTTCTTCATAATATCGGAATCCTAAAATAAATTATTACATACTTCACAGTAACTTGAAACAGGCGCCAACACTTTAATATGTACCAAGAAGTTTAGTTGGAAGTACTTTAACAGTGTAGTAAAACAGGTACACAGGGGACAAAAGTTATGTAAAGCAAAACAATAGAAAAGCGAAGAGTCCCATTAACCTATTACAGGTGACACTTAGCATGCAGTACTACTTAACCCTGTCTGTGGATGATAATGGGCATATAAGATCGAGTTACATCTTCACCCTTGGCTATTCTCTCCGCATGCATGTGCAGTGCCTTGCAATGGTGTTCCGGAAACTGCATCCAGGTCTTGTGAGCCTCCCACCTTCTGCTCTCCATTCACCCACCTCACTGTCACTATCATCCTCATTCATTATCGTCTTTCTCTTTCTTTTGGCCCCAACAGAGGCTAGAGTGAGGAGAAAGATGAGTAGAATGCGGAAGTAGGAAAATTGCATTCTGATTGAACTCTCCCACTTCAGCCTTATTTATACCACTCGAGGAAGAAGGATAATAAATAGCTCTAAATGTAATAAGTGGTTCGACTGTACACATTGCAAGACTATGGTCATAAATTCGATTTTCTATCTATACGGTTAGTGCGTCGAGGAATTGCGACATGATTAATCGTTGAGAGGTCTACTTATTTCCTGCTTTAGAATCACAAATCAACTTTTGTGCTCTTAAGAGAAGTGGTGTGCTATATTCTTAATATTGCCAAATATACCAAAGTTAGGAAATGGGTGTAAGCTGGCTACACTACTGACTTGATTTCCATGGCCCCTCCTTCAGTCGAAGTGAGGGTAACTATTAGAAATCGCAAATTAGTCTCTTTGTTTAACAACCATGGGTCTTGTACTAAACATTTTTAGGTTGCTGGTCCATATAGTTGAGGAAAATCCCTACAAATGAGTCAATGAGGGCATTCCATTGGTATCATTTCGAAATCCCTTGCACTGGCTTTATACAATCATAAAAATAGAATCCTTCAAATACTGATCACCTAAACCAATAACCAACAGACTCAAAGTATTCTTAAACCAAAATTTGTTCTTCTAAATTTGAACCACTCCTAACTTGTTGATTGTTCAAGATCATATTTTAGGGAAACAGATTGCAGGGACTGTCAAAAAATTCGACTGTTTCCTCGAGACCGTACATAAGTTTATTGTTATGGTCATACAATAAAAGTGGAATGTGTAGTGAATAAAAGATAATAGGCAATAGCTAAAGGACCATAAAACAACTGAAGACGATTTATTCCGGTTTTACAGTAAAACAGGTGAGAGCTAAGTAATAATATCACAATATACTCTATATTTATCTGAAACAATATTATTTAAAGCGAACTGTTAAAAGCAGCTAAACTAACAGGCTGTAGAGTTAATGCCCTTTAGGATTCTTGTGAATGTTCCGGCATTTTATTGTGCGTTAGCTTGATTCAAACGCTTCAAAACCAGTAAAAGAATATCAATTTATAAAAAAAACAGATTAACTACTTCCCCAAAAGAAAGAGATATTCCTACGGAACTACAGATAATAGTTACGGGTCAGCAAAAATAGTAATTATGTGATTGAAATTTCAAACGGTGCAGAGATGTAAGACAGATTGTCAAAAGTGATTATCGTAAAATAGTTAAATTTTCTAGAACAACAGTAGTGATTTAGTTAAATACCATTTCTGACCATTTTGAAGGCTTTGTCAATAGTTTGCTAAGACATTATTAATGATGATTTAGAGGGCACCGTCTTCCGTAGTTCATAAAATTGCTACAAATTAGATGATTTATCTTCGTAAAAGTGAGTCATTTTGGCTAAACTAAAAACCACTAGAAAGGATTTGGATGTACTGTTTTTTGAAGATTATGCAACGAATCCTTCAGGAGATATTTATTTTGTTTAAGCAAGATTTAGCATTTTTATGCTAATTGGATGCGCTGACATAGCTTTCCAAACAGGAGCGAGTAATAGGCCATTTAGGACTTAGATGGTCAAGTTTCTAAACTAGACTGCATATTACCAAATAGCAATTAGAGTGCTAACTCTAGTTCAAAACAACATTCTACCTTGTATAAAATATAATGGAAAAAAACAAAAAAGATTGTATACGGTAAAAATAATTTCTGAGAAAACAAGTGTACCATATTGCAAAGGTAAAGGCGCGTTATATAAAAAGGTTGGTAAAGAGCCTTCGTTGGGATGGTAATTAAGTTGTGCCTGGTTGGTCATTTGTGCAGGGGTATTTCTACA